TTCTCCTCAGCAGTTTTTACACCAGTCTCTCCAACCAGACGGTGATTATATATTCTACATGCGTCCACGTGGTTGTTTAATATTCCTCCATTAGTTCAAATCTTGCATCAACCCAGGTTTTTTTGATGACTTCCCATTTCCGGCGGAACGTGGGATGAAGGAGTAAAAAAAAAAAAGTAAAAACCCTGACTTCGGTGACTTCGACATGACTGAGGAGAGGTAAAAGCATGTAATTACAGCTGAATAGTGAGTTAACCTATTCACCCCTGCTTTAACACTGTCACTCACCACTTCAGCTTGGCACTTAAGTAGGTGGATTTCCATCCCGCTGATGGTGGGTTGAATATGAATGTGAATCGCAGCCGGCACTGTCTGAGATTAAATCATTTGCGAGGGTTTGTTGGATTTAGTGAAGATGCAATCAGTCTGAGATGTAGATAAAAAAAATTACTGAACTTACACAGCAATTATCGCAAAGAAGATAGAAGTTCGCTCTCATATACGAACGAACGGGAACGTGGTCTCAGATTTTTGGACCCCACTGTGCATCATCTATATATATATATATATATATATATACACAGATGGTAATTTGTCCTAATTAAAATGAAATTCAGGTTATGTTATTTCTGTTTCTTTCTTTTTTTTGCCTGTGTTTAAAAAAAGAAACAAACAAAGTGACACAAGATATACAAGGTTGTCAGGGGGAAGATCAGCAGTTCAGCTTGAGAAACACAGACATCCAACCGGTAAACATCCCTTCAGCTAGAATGAATTAAACAAACCAACTAATCCAACCTTCCAGGAAACTGTTTGCAATAATTTGCTGGAAAATATTCCTCTCTCAAATCATCAGTTTGTTTCTGCTTTTGATCCAAACCAATCTGATGTCATGTGAGTGTAAATACAAATGTTTCCAGCTTTCAAACCACTCCAAAATCTGTGTAACTTACATTACCAGGGCCGTGCACGACTCTAACTTCTTCCTGTTGGATTGAACTTCAACTTTGGGTTGTAAAATTCTCTGGCTTCTCCTGAGTGAATTTGATTTCATTAAAATTTTATTGAGTTTTCAGAACAACAGCAACAGCAACAGTTCAGGATGGTGTGCTTGATTCCTTTAATAAATGTTACTGTGCCAATGTGTTTGGCAGAAGAAGGCCTCTCCCTCAGGCCACACAAAGGAAACATGACAGTTCTCCAAACGCACTGGCCAGACGAGTCAGAAACGCATTACGCTAATTACTTGATTACTTTTTCAGTCTGAATTTCAAAGTGTAATCCCTTATACACTATTCAGTGGTTACATTAATTGAATAAGTTTTGCTCTGTTGCTTTGACGGTTTGGGGGTCGGCTTTTTCACTGCGTTAGCGGGAGTTGTGTGTGTGCGTACAGGGGAGAGTCTGGACGATATATTGTTTCTTGGCGCAGGAACATGTTGGGAGGTGGTTAGCCTCAACCAAAAACAAGTGCGACTCCTGGTAACTGCGATTGTGGTGGATGCAGTCAAAATCGCTGTCCCAACACTTAGCAGATGCTGGAAATCTGCCGCCATGTTGAATTGGAACGATATTGCAAGGGGAGAAAACCCAGCTCTGTTCGTATAACATCACTCAATGGAAACACAGACCATTCAAAAATTGTGTTTTGATGACATTTCAAACCTAGAAAAATCTATAGTTTTAATAGAGATAACTGATCATTTAGTCGCCAGTCAGTGGCCTTTACGTATGCGTCGGCGTTGTGGTCGCCAACATTAACTTTTTATCCAAATTTAACCCACATTCTTACATCTTGGTTATTTCTACCTAAATATTTTTTGACCGAATGAAGGATTTTAGTCATCGCACCACTGGGACTTCAGTTATCAGAGAAACAAGCTGAGCAAACATCGGCAGCAGCTCGGCTCCCGGCCCCTCTGACACTTCTTGAGTTCTCCAAACAGCATCAGAGAAACACTGATTTTTAACTTGAAAGTACTTTACTCAGTATTTTAGTAGATTAAATCACCTGGGCCGTTTGTTGTGGAGAGGAGGAGACGTTTGTGGATAATTTGGCTCTTGGTAAAAACCTCCTGAATTGACACTGAAGGAAACCAAACTGGGAGTAGCTCATTGCAGTGATCCCATGCTACTTCATGATGTGACCAAACTCTTGTCTACTTGTATTGTTTTGATTGAGAGAACCTTCGTGGCAGGAAATTTCATAATGTCGCTGCTTCCAAAACAGAGGCTGGCTGCTTGTTTAAACCACGCGTCTCATTTTCCATTTCTATGTGTGTTAAATACAGAATATGCAACGTGTGGGTGTGGATTTTATGTAATTACTTTTTCAGTGAGCAATGTAGCTATAATTAGCAGGCTAATTTAAGTAACTTGGCCAGAGCTGTTTAGCAGTCTGAAGACAGCAGTGCCAGTATCTGTTTAAAATTTTGCCTCTGAGCAGTAAAATATCATCCTTTTGATTCAGTGCAGAGAACCTCCTGCCACATTTTTTAAAGACATGGTGATTCATCAACAAGACTCCCAGTGTACCTCGCTGCTGCTGACAGGCTCAACATGTNTAAAAACCCTGACTTCGGTGACTTCGACATGACTGAGGAGAGGTAAAAGCATGTAATTACAGCTGAATAGTGAGTTAACCTATTCACCCCTGCTTTAACACTGTCACTCACCACTTCAGCTTGGCACTTAAGTAGGTGGATTTCCATCCCGCTGATGGTGGGTTGAATATGAATGTGAATCGCAGCCGGCACTGTCTGAGATTAAATCATTTGCGAGGGTTTGTTGGATTTAGTGAAGATGCAATCAGTCTGAGATGTAGATAAAAAAAATTACTGAACTTACACAGCAATTATCGCAAAGAAGATAGAAGTTCGCTCTCATATACGAACGAACGGGAACGTGGTCTCAGATTTTTGGACCCCACTGTGCATCATCTATATATATATATATATATATATATACACAGATGGTAATTTGTCCTAATTAAAATGAAATTCAGGTTATGTTATTTCTGTTTCTTTCTTTTTTTTGCCTGTGTTTAAAAAAAGAAACAAACAAAGTGACACAAGATATACAAGGTTGTCAGGGGGAAGATCAGCAGTTCAGCTTGAGAAACACAGACATCCAACCGGTAAACATCCCTTCAGCTAGAATGAATTAAACAAACCAACTAATCCAACCTTCCAGGAAACTGTTTGCAATAATTTGCTGGAAAATATTCCTCTCTCAAATCATCAGTTTGTTTCTGCTTTTGATCCAAACCAATCTGATGTCATGTGAGTGTAAATACAAATGTTTCCAGCTTTCAAACCACTCCAAAATCTGTGTAACTTACATTACCAGGGCCGTGCACGACTCTAACTTCTTCCTGTTGGATTGAACTTCAACTTTGGGTTGTAAAATTCTCTGGCTTCTCCTGAGTGAATTTGATTTCATTAAAATTTTATTGAGTTTTCAGAACAACAGCAACAGCAACAGTTCAGGATGGTGTGCTTGATTCCTTTAATAAATGTTACTGTGCCAATGTGTTTGGCAGAAGAAGGCCTCTCCCTCAGGCCACACAAAGGAAACATGACAGTTCTCCAAACGCACTGGCCAGACGAGTCAGAAACGCATTACGCTAATTACTTGATTACTTTTTCAGTCTGAATTTCAAAGTGTAATCCCTTATACACTATTCAGTGGTTACATTAATTGAATAAGTTTTGCTCTGTTGCTTTGACGGTTTGGGGGTCGGCTTTTTCACTGCGTTAGCGGGAGTTGTGTGTGTGCGTACAGGGGAGAGTCTGGACGATATATTGTTTCTTGGCGCAGGAACATGTTGGGAGGTGGTTAGCCTCAACCAAAAACAAGTGCGACTCCTGGTAACTGCGATTGTGGTGGATGCAATCAAAATCGCTGTCCCAACACTTAGCAGATGCTGGAAATCTGCCGCCATGTTGAATTGGAACGATATTGCAAGGGGAGAAAACCCAGCTCTGTTCGTATAACATCACTCAATGGAAACACAGACCATTCAAAAATTGTGTTTTGATGACATTTCAAACCTAGAAAAATCTATAGTTTTAATAGAGATAACTGATCATTTAGTCGCCAGTCAGTGGCCTTTACGTATGCGTCGGCGTTGTGGTCGCCAACATTAACTTTTTATCCAAATTTAACCCACATTCTTACATCTTGGTTATTTCTACCTAAATATTTTTTGACCGAATGAAGGATTTTAGTCATCGCACCACTGGGACTTCAGTTATCAGAGAAACAAGCTGAGCAAACATCGGCAGCAGCTCGGCTCCCGGCCCCTCTGACACTTCTTGAGTTCTCCAAACAGCATCAGAGAAACACTGATTTTTAACTTGAAAGTACTTTACTCAGTATTTTAGTAGATTAAATCACCTGGGCCGTTTGTTGTGGAGAGGAGGAGACGTTTGTGGATAATTTGGCTCTTGGTAAAAACCTCCTGAATTGACACTGAAGGAAACCAAACTGGGAGTAGCTCATTGCAGTGATCCCATGCTACTTCATGATGTGACCAAACTCTTGTCTACTTGTATTGTTTTGATTGAGAGAACCTTCGTGGCAGGAAATTTCATAATGTCGCTGCTTCCAAAACAGAGGCTGGCTGCTTGTTTAAACCACGCGTCTCATTTTCCATTTCTATGTGTGTTAAATACAGAATATGCAACGTGTGGGTGTGGATTTTATGTAATTACTTTTTCAGTGAGCAATGTAGCTATAATTAGCAGGCTAATTTAAGTAACTTGGCCAGAGCTGTTTAGCAGTCTGAAGACAGCAGTGCCAGTATCTGTTTAAAATTTTGCCTCTGAGCAGTAAAATATCATCCTTTTGATTCAGTGCAGAGAACCTCCTGCCACATTTTTTAAAGACATGGTGATTCATCAACAAGACTCCCAGTGTACCTCGCTGCTGCTGACAGGCTCAACATGTCCGGCGAGAGTTACACTTTATCTGGTGATGATTTATCCTGCTCAGCTTACCTTGCAGCTTGGTCTTGGGGATTTTCCCACAAGGCTTGGTGGCTGTGACGGTGGCGGCGCAGGTCGCGTCCATGAGCGCTCGCTTCAGCACGCCCGTCCTGTTCTTCTTGCCCGTCGCCAGATCGCACTCCCCCCACGCCTGGAAGTCGTACTTGCATTCCCCTGCAGCGCACAAGGGAATCAGATACTTCATTAGTTGCTTTTGTTTGGTGAAGTAGGCACGAAGGAGGCATGGTAAAAGGGCCGATCAAGCAGAACACCTGTAAAATGACACACAACAGCTTCTGTATTTGTTTTTAAAAGAGCAGTCAAATGCAATCAGTCAGTGGAACAAGTCCCTTGAGCCTGAGGAGTTGTGAGTCTGAATGGCTGTTTGATGAGCGGTTATAATTTACTTGGCTATTATCTCCTTCCTATCAATAGAAAGTGTCCAAGATCAACAAATTGAGTTCTGCTAAAGCCTCGTCACGAGCTTTATGGCTTTTCGCCTACGGGAACAGATGGCAATTCATTGTTTTGATCTTATATTTCCTATATGATGAAACTTGCTAACAGATGAATGTAATCAAAAACTGCCCGGCTGCTGCTCAGCCTGGAAATAACAGACAGATACAATCTTAGGAGCAGAGTCATGAAAGCACTTTCCGCAGCAACTCAAATAAATTTCACATGTGCTTTCATTTGATATTAAATTCACCTTAAACTCAACCCCTGAGGATGCAAGATTGCTCTGGAAAATAGCTACAGTGGCTGATGTATAGTATGTTATAGAAATCTGTTTTGAAAAAGCATGTGCGTGTGCGCAAGTGTGTGTTTGTGTGCTGTATGTCCGTGTCTCTCATATCTCCCTCCCATTATTTTGTTGCCACTCCAGCCGCGCTCCCTGGAGGCTGTGACACTCATTCGTCAGCTTCCTCTCACATGAAAAGCGTCGGACCCCATTGTCACTGCCTCTGAGATCCTAGGGTACTCATCACAGGAGAGAAGAGTGGGAGGAAGGGTTGAGGAGAGGAGGGACGGAGAGCGGTGAGAGGGAGTGACAGGGCCATTGTTGCAGGAATCCCACAGGGAGTCCTCAGCATCCAACTTTCAAACCCCTACGCCTCCATTCCTATAATTTGTCTCTGAGAGAGAGCTTCCTTGCTGGCTCCTGGGGATTTGGCAGGCAGCCCATGTCCTCTTTAAGGTGTCACATACAAGTAGGTAAAAGAAATGCTTGTACAAGTGTGAACACACCCACTCATCAGCGACCCTACACCCAAGCAGATTCCCATGTGTCTGATGTCTTTATGTTTGGAAAAACATCTGATCAATCACAAGATCCTTGAAGTGCCTTCAAGAATTTGTTCAAGATTTTTGCTATTGCTAACATTAGCATTAACAGCTATTTACTTCCCACTCTAGAAGAAACGTTTTCAGTTCAGCATCAAACTTCAAACAATGCTATTACTTCTTTTCTTCTTCTGAAGTTAGCGTGTTAACTAGCTAGCCCCGACATATCGTCACTTTCCGATACCGCCTCACTGTAGCGTCCAGTCTGCCCTGAAGAGGTAGTGCTGCTCAGAGGGCGAATTATAATCTCTTGTATTATAAACACAATGATAGCTGAAGCCCTTGGCAAGACCGGTAAGTAAACAGCTGTTAATTGCTAACGTTAGCCATGTAGCAATAGCTGATAACTGGCAGGTAGCTCCTTTAAGGCCTTTGAGGAGGATGGGGTTAAAGCTGAAAATTTCTTATGGATTGTAATCCATAAAACTGAATGAGGGTGAAATAGGGGTCAGATGGATTGTGGATGTGTCACATGTCTACATCTATCATTTTTTTGTGAATAAAACATCATCACTCTGGTTCTCCACTGGTTCCCCTGGAAAAAGAAAAGAAAAAAAAAAAGAAAAGGTCTATTGTGAGTAGCTGTCAATTGGTCAGTATCAGCTGGGTTTTTACCTACGTATGGTAAGCACCATAATATTAAAACATTCCCTTGCTTTACTTCTTTGTGTCTCTAGCGCTCCATATGATTATTTCTGTGGTTTATTGTATAGAAACACATTAGTTGTTGTATTTCTTACCCACCTAACCTGCCCCACAGAGTTGTCCTCTTTTCTGGGTCATGCTGCTGGAAACCCTGACTCTAAATCATCATCATCATCACCTTCCTATTTTAAGCACAACATTTACACTCCATGTCTCACTCTGCATTGTTGTGTAGTACTTAAACATTGCAAAAAAAACAAAAAAAACAATTTGGGCCATGTGCTGCAAACTTAAACCACTGTTAACCTAGTTTTCACTTGTTTAGTTTTTCAGAATCATTTGGGGTTTAATATTTTAATAAGATGTAACAGTTTTGCCAAATGGGATGGCAAATCTTTCTGGCTCCAGATCTCAGAACTGCTTTATTCCAAGTTCTTCACACTCCTCGCAATAGTACCTAAAGCCACATGATGTTGTTCCATAGTGCAATATGTTACCTACTGATACTTAGCCTTCAAATCTACTCACAAAATAGTCTTAACATCAATGATAGACATTTTTACTGAGCATCATATCTGAATCCAGGTTTAGCTGACAGGGTTAAATTTCAGGGTCTTTTCACACTAATTCTAATGCATTTTGTTGAGTGTGAGTAACCAAATGTTACAGTAGTCATTTATCTTTAATTGGAAGAATTCCAAAATAAAAGACACTGACTCTGTGTTTGCAGTGATCTTCATCTTTTGCCATTTTCTTTTCTTTCCTCAAGTAACTTTCCACAGTTTTAAGACCACAGGAATGTAACTTATTTCCTCTTCTCCCAAACTTTTGCTGCTATAATCTATATAGCCAGTTAGCGGGACCATTATTTCCTGCAGTGAGTTCATCACTCGTGACAGGCTCATTGCAGAGCAGCAGGCTCTGTGCCTGACAGGCCTTACTGGGGGGAACAAAAGTCCCTCAGGCTTGTCAATGCAAGACGTTTCGACTGTGAAAGCTGCCCACAGTCAAGCCCCGCGCCGCCCCGCCGCGCACCCAAAAAAAAAGCAAATGGCAAAGCATAATTCCAGTGTTCTCAATGACAATGTAAGACATTTCTGTTGTACCTCTAATTAGCAAGCTTTCTCATTCCCATTGTGAAAATGGGAGCTTTGTTTGCGTGAATGACAAGCTACCATACATCATGTGGAGGTGTGGGCTGAGATGGATGGGAGTCGTGCAGATGACAGAAAGGGGGGCAGTTCTCTTGCTCTTTTAGTTGATGTGGATTATATAAATACTACATGAAAGTAGACCTTTTCGATTGGTCATGTACTAAGAAATATCTGGTAAATTCCAGCCTGAACATTCCTCCCTCACCTCCGAACTTCTTCTTCCAGTTGCAGGGGATCTTGCAGCGTTGGGTCTTGATGGTCTGCTTGCAGTCAGTGCCGGTGCGCGTTCCCTCCCTGGTGCCGAGTCCACAGTCCCCTTCATTGGCTACGCATACGCTCCACTGCCACTCCCCGCAGTCCGACTTGCGCTCCTTCTTTCCTGTACAACCAAACACACACTTTAACACCTGGCAAACGGGTAAGACGTTTTTTTGTTTTTTCCTTTCAAGGGTCTGGACAGGTCTGTAAGGAGTATTGGGTCAAGTCTCACACCGGTCAACTCAACAACTCCTCCAACCTGAACAACCATATGTTGTGTTTATCATCCTCTGATACGACTCGTAGGACTGTCTACTGAAACAGCGCCCCTGTGGAAGAAGGCGTACCGGACCCTCGTCACCATGGTTACTATAATAACAGTCATGGTTTGGTTTGGTTAGGTTTAGGAAAAGATTGTGGTTTTGGTTAAAATAAGTACTTCCTCAACATTAAGACGGTCTTTGTTGTCATGGTTACGATAATACCCAACATAAACTGCTACTTTAACATGGGATCCAAACGCCTCTCTCCTGTGTCATATTACTTTCCACCCAAACCTCCTCCTAACACGGACATTGTCCGTCTTCATTCTACGTTACTATGGCCACTAGATGTCGCCTAGCAACAAAACGTAACTATGGGTCATAACAACCTGCTTTGTACTCAGGGACGGTCTCAATCAAGTCCAGGTCAGGTGTGTGAGACTTTCATTTTCGACACACAAGTGTGACATATTCAGCGAATTTTAGTTTTTATTAAAACCAGAAATGAAAAGTGCTACATCATATGCAATGTCTATAAAAGTACTTACTTTGGACTTTCATATTATGTCAAGGCAGTTGTAATGGGCTTAGGTGCTTGCACTAATTTCCAATGCAAATGAACTTTTTCCCTTGAATTTAAATTAGGCTAAATGTTGTTTTCTTTACCCAAGAGGGATTTATCTGACTTATTTTTCCTTTTTTTCTCAAAGGACACAAATTACTTTAAGCCCACAGGCATTTTTTTTTTTTTGCTTTATTACTTTCATATATTTTTTAAAAGTTGTGTCTAGTTAAATAAGTTGTTAAAAGAGACGCTGTTAACGGTGCAGCCTGTAGGGAGAGATGGCACTGTGTGCCACTCCACAGAGGAAAAGACCTGTTTTAATGTATGTTGAAGAGGTAAAATGACAAAGTGATTTTCCTTCATCAAACAAATTTGCTGTTGGTTTGCAAGATTCACCTTGTTTCTCTGCTTTGCCTCCTTCAGCTGCCATCACCGTTAGCACCAGGAGCGCCATCACAGCCACACTCGTCCATTGCTTCTGTCCATTCATTCTGAAAGAGAGACAGAGCTTTCTTCATCAGTGTGTCTTGCTCAGTGCAAGTGAACAGCCTGACTTGTCTACTTCACTGTCAATTAATAATTTCTTACATTTCAAAACTACTTTGAGAACTCAGAACTTTTGAGCACTCACTAAAAAAATCTAGAACAAGAACTTGACACATTCGGCTGTTTGATAGAACAGGGAGCGAGAAGAGAAAAAGCAATAGTTGCCTCCAAGTCTCATGAGACAAAGAGAAATAGCTTGGGGAATTTCCATGTCTCGTCTTGTGTCATTTCCACTGTGCTGGATTCCAATATCAACATTTTGATTGTCTGCGGCGCCACTACACTGTCAGTTACGGGTGTATTCGCCGTCAATCTCTGAGATCTTGTCACGGGTAGATACAGTCCCCACACCAGTTAGATTGGATTTGTCAAAACTCTTGTCCACCTCCTGTGGTCTGATAAAGAAGGTGAGTTTAACAGAGTTTTAATTCTTGTGTTACAGCCCCAAAAAGAAGGCATAGCCTATCAAGGCTACTGTCCTTGAAGAAGAAGAAAACGTTGGGAACCGCTAAATTTAGATTGTTTTCTGAGAGTCTTATTAAAGGTTCCACCACTGGTAGCACTGTGGAGCACTCCTGGCCTTCTATCAACCTTTACCATAACAGTGGAATATACTAATTTTAGATTATGGGAAAAGAGATCACTGGTATCTGATCAGTGTTGAAGTATTGGGAGAGAAAAGTTGGATGTGTGCATCCTAAATTAAGGAGTAAGATGTAAGAAAGAAGAACTTAAGAACCCAGTAGTAAAGACACACTGGAGGCTGAACTGCACTGCACAAAATCTGCTGAGGAAACGATTGCACCTGCTGCCTTCAAGCACGAAAAGAGCAAGACAGCTGGGGTGGCATCCATTATTATAATATTCCCACTGTACAAGAATATCAAGATAATAAAATAAATATTTCCTTGGGTTTCTCTCTCTCTTTGTTGACCATTATTTGCACACAGCACCTCACATTTCAGATGCCAAATTTAGCCGGTTTAAGGTTTTCCAAATCAAAACCAGTTCTCCCATATCGTGCATCAGATTTTCCCTCGTTATTTGATCCTCCAGCTGGTTCTGGATCAGCAGAAAGCCGTTACTGTCACTGCACAACCCGCCTAACGCACTGGGATGAAATTATGGCAGTAAACCTACTCCCTTTCGGCTATCCTGACTCCTCCGTGACAGATTTCTCTGTGAGAAATCCTCCAGCAGACAACGCTCTCGGAGAGGAAAGACAGAATGAGACTGAGACAATTACAATAAGTGTTTGACGCCAAAAAAATGCTCGTCTGTGCTCAAATGCTCGTGTAAAGGTTGAGCCTGGCAGGAAAATAATATCCATTTGTCATTTTTAATTAATCATGAGCTGGCTCTGAGCTCTCCATCCCATTGTGTGATGAACTTGCTTCACCCGTTTAAGACCCTGTATAAGTTAAATCTGTCTGTGTGGAGGACAGTGAAAGCCTCTTAAAGTTACATCAGGTATTCACACCTTATATTTAATTGTTAGATGTTATAGAAGTACATTTTATCTAGGATTTTAATGTCTTCAGAAGCTCATAATTAGCCTTACAGAAGCGCCTGTACTTTGTCTGCCAGGAAAAGTCATTTGATTTACATGATTGATTTTTTTTACTTTTCTGACTGTGGCGGCGCAGACAAACCCTGCTTTGATTAAATACTTCAAACTCCATCTCCCAGTTTTTATGTCGACTCTCTTTAAGAGATTCCAAACCATTCACTTCCATAACATTAAAAAACATAAAATTTTTAAAAAAATCATTGAATCCCAACCGTAAGAAGTGCGTACAATGAGTTCTAAGAGTTTCAGAGAGAAGACCCAATGAAAGCGTAACGATAAGGATCATTTTCCAAGAAAAAGGCATTGTGGCCTTTGTAAAGATAAGAAAGTCTTTTCCAGAGTGATGGGCTCTTGGTGCTGTGCAGGCATCAAAGGAGACGGGTGTTGATGACTTTGAATGAGCACTCCATACAGTAGTTTAAAGAAAGAAATAAGACTTGGAATTAAACCGCATTAACCATTTCCTCTGTAGCCATGCCAGACGACAGGTTTCTCCCCCTCTTCCCTCGAGGTCAATAAATTAAATGGAAGTCCATGTAGCTCCCATTTCCGGAGCATGACAGCGCCTACAGTGGATGACTGAGTGGGTCGGAGCATTAGACTATCATTCAAGCAGGCGTGTGTGCTGCCTGTGCAACACTTTGATAAGAGGCGCAGGGGGATTGCCAACTTAAAGGACATCCACTTGTGCTTTTACCACAAATGTTCTCACAGTCGGATTCACCTACAGCTCCACACTACAGGTCTCAGCCCCCCTGGCAACCAGACCACGAATCAGCCTCTTTACTATCATGACTCACACTCCCTTTAATTTGACTGAAGGAAAAAGGAGTTTCAATACAATTCTTCATCACCTAGAAGCAGTGTTGTGTCTTGCAGATGTGTTTTTTTTTTTTTTTCAAGTGAGATACTGATGCATTTTGTAAAATTCTCAGACATATTTCAATGTTGTGCTAAAGCTGATACCCAAGTCACCGGGCACAGGTGGGAAAAAAGTCATCAATCACCGCTCAACCTGTCCCCAGATTCTGAGGGAGATATTTGGTGCAGGATATTGCCATACCTGGAGTGAGGCTCTTCAAATAAAAGAAAGTCATTTAATGCCTGGGAAGTTGTAGACCAAGAGTATACGTTTGTGAATTTTTTAGAAAGGTTCAGTGGTTTTTCGAGCACAACAAACAGCAAAGAAGAGCTGTAGGCTCTGGGTGGCCACTGTTCAAATTGCAGGTCAACTGATAACCTGGGACATAATCACAAATTCAGGGATACACATCAGTTGAAAAAGAAATAACTACAAAACTTTCTGAGTCTCCCACACTTTATAGTCAAACTTTGAACCAGTTAGATTTGATATATATTTACAAGCCAGACTATTTTCCTTCTATTCACATGTGTGTGAAACATGCTGTTTTATTATTATTATTATTATTATTATTGTTGTTGTTATTGTTAAAACCTTTATTTAAACAGATCTCATTGAGATCAGGACCAGCGGTTCATACTGTAACCATGACAACAAAGATCTAATGTTGAGGAAGTACTTATTTAAACGCGAATCATGATCTCTTCCTAAACGTAACCAAGTAGTTCTAGCAGTGTTCCCTTGTGATGTGATGCAGTGTATGTTATTTCTATTGTCTATGACTGTTCGACGTAGTTGACTACACTGTTATTCTTGTAACCATGACAACAAAGCTCGTCTAATGCCGAGGAAGTAAGTCGCATCACGATGTTTTCTGAAGCCTAACCAAATAGTTATTGTGACATGACCGTTATGACTACAGTGTAAATGTCAAAGTCTAATGGAGTCCACCCCCCACCCACCCAGAGCTTAGATTGCAACAGAAGAAAGTGAATGTGTTTGAACCTCTCAGCGTGGGGGGTTACTTGAACTTCAGAAGCATCCAGTGGTCAGTGCGGCTCATGAGCCAGTGAGAATTAGTCCTATCAAACCCTCCATTTGCCTCATTGATCCAGACAAACAGCTGTGGGTTCCTGGTGAGGGGAGTGGAGGAGGAAAGCCAATACTGGCCACAAATCGATGGACCTTCAGTGACTCCTTGTGTGCTTCGGCAAACACACACACACACATATACACAAAACACTCCGCCACTCTGGAGCACAGACAAACACCAGATGCAAAACACTCTCCATCTCTCTCCTCTGTCTCATTAGGACTGACGTTATCCCTGCCGAGTACATAAAGGAGAATCTATTTATACTATCAGATCCTCTTGCTTGCGTCTTATATACAAAGGCAGGAGGCGATGGAGGCGACGGTGCAGGTATAAAGGAGAAACCAGTTTAATGAATCAATTATAAGATCCAAGAGGAGGGGAATCGTTTGGGTTAATCACTGTCTGGGCTGAGTGGAAAAAAGATCTCCAACATTGTTGTTCAGTGAAGAATGGATTTGGGTTCTTTAATTTAAAGTTCAAATTAACCTCTCAAAATCCTGTTCTTAATCAGAGAACTTAACTAAATACATATGGGGAGCGTGTAGTTAAGCAACAGCCCCCCTGTGGCGTGCTAATGATGAACACAAATATTATTATAAGACACATGTATGCTTTCAATACCACTTAGCTGAATATGAATTATACATGTTTTTTAATAACTCTTTGCCCCTGGAGGTAACAAATCAAAGAATGTGGTTTCCAAAGGCAAGGCTTTCCCAGCTCTCTTTGACTCCATCATGCAATATTTAAAGTTGTGCCAATGGGAGGTATAATCCTTTCTCTTTAAAAACAATAAATAAAAAAATTGTTTTACATAGGAAGATTTATTTAAGTCTAAATGGGTATTTGACTTGAGTCATGCAGTGGCAGTGGTACACTTTTAGCCATACAAAAAAAAAGCAAACATTATTTAAAATCCACAAATATACATATCTGGTTTCAGAAAAAAACTTTTTGGGGGTATTTTTAGATTAAATATCATAATAATATCAAATCCTCAACCCTCCCTTTCCAAATGTAGGAGAACCCTACTTGGCCTTCTCTAGAGCCAGTGTTTAGTTTGTCCATTCTGGGCTACTGTAGAAACATGGTGGACTCCGTGGACGAGGGCCTGCTCCTTGTGTAGATTTGAGGAGCTCATTCAGGTGATTGTATACTAATGAAAACATTGTCATGAATATTAGACTGTATTCCAGTTCTGCCAGTAGAGCTCCCTAAATCCTGCGCACTGGTCCTTTAAATTTAGAAATGACCTTGTTTACAATTTGAGGTATCCTATCAACAGTTTTACAGATCTCTCTTTTATAATGATGGTCTGTGGGGAAAATACTTTGTGGAACATAGGAGATAATTTTGCTGCAGTACTGCGAGTGACCACTGGGGTAATGGTGGCGCCATATCCAGCTCTTTTAATACA